TTTGGCAGAGCAGCTCATCCGCTTTTCATTGATTGCTCTGTTATCCTTTCCCCTTAGTAGTTGTGGGTGGTGGTTAGCTGCCATCGAGTTGACCTGGACTCATGTTGATGCCGTTTACAGTGGCACAGAACACCGCTTGGTTGCTTGCAGACTAAACCCTTGTGATCCATGGAGACCCCAGTTTTTCAGAAGCTGGTCATCAGGTCTTCCTCCCTAATTTTGTCTAAGTCTGGACGCTCCACTGAAACCTGTTGAGCATCTTAGGAACACACAAACATGTACTGGCTGATGGGTGGTGGTATGGCACCTGCTCATGAGGTGCATGGGCTGGGAATCGAACCTGGGTCTCTCATATGGCAGGTGAGAACGACCACTGATTTTTCTTGAGCGAGGCAGATTCCATTGATTTTCAGTGGTGCCAGCAGCGTATTCTCCCAGAGGTATTCAAGCTGAGGAATGCCTTCCTTAGATCCCCTGGCACAGCTTCTGAGTCACCGCCATCCAGCCATAATCACTTGGAGGTTAAGCCCCTAGGGTAGGGCATGTTCTGTGTGTGTGTTTGAAATAGCGTCTAATGTACTACAGCCGCTGAGAACCGAATGGAGACAAATCCCGCCACACATACCACCTGTTCTTCTTGGGTCTGTGTGTTGTAGCATTTGAAGTGGTTGAGTTTTCTTTTTAAAACTCTGCCCTTTACTGATGGAGGGGGGCAGGTAGGAATATCTAACACAGAGGAGAGAGGGGTAGAAAAAGTAAGTCAAACCTAGGTCCCTCTCCTCGGGATTGTAGTGTGTGGGGATCCAGGCGAAGCCATTGGGGAGTTCAGGATTTGTGTAGGAGAAAAATTTCCTGCCTGGCGAGGAGAGCCAGAACTCTTAAAGAAGGCAGCTCTTTTATTGAGCGCACCACTGGGATTTGTGCCTTGGTGGATTCTTCATATATTACAGTGAATTTAATTAAATTCATTGTGATCCCAATTGAGGGTATTCTAATTAGCTGGGTCAGGAACAAATTATTCTCCCTCCTTCTCCAAATGAAAACATCTTCTTAATTCTACAGAAAAGCATGTCCTTGGCTGAGTGACTGCCCTATGGGGTCCTCATCTGTCCTTTTAGCCCCACATTCCTGCTTTAGCTTTTTATTAGACAAGTTTCAAGGGTGGAATTCAGGGATGGGTCTCTTAGGGGGTCGTGGCCAACAAGCTCATGTTTCACGGTTTTTGTTGTATTTCAAGGACTAGCAAGTGACCAGATGGCATGGAGAAGGTCAGAGAAGCCAGGAGACCCACCTCCCTACTGCCAGCTTCAGGTCCATGTTTGGCCCAACTTGGGCAGCCTGGGAAATAGTAACAAGCAAGAAGGTAGATACTCTTACCTTTTGTCACACACAGGAAGACGTCAGGAGACCCAAGTTACAGACACAAGTCAGGGGGAGGATGTAACCTCTATGAACTAGATATGCCCAAGAAACTTAGGAATAGTCTATTTTAGAATTTTTTGTAGTTCCTTAGAAAATGAACCTGGAGGTCAAAGCAAGTGTGAAATTGTGAATTGAGCTTTTGTACAAGTCTGTAAGAGAAAATCCTAAATCTTCCCTAGATCAGAATTCTTATGAAAGGCTGATGTTTTCCTTGACTCTCTCTCCCCCATTTTCTTTCATTCATGTCTCTACATTTTTGCCCATTTCCTTTCCAAAGCAGCTCTCATGGCAGACAAAAGCATTTTAGGTAGTACAGGAGATGGTAGTTTGCTAACATAAGCTCAAGTGTTAAGTGATTTTGGAGCATCTTGACTTTATCAATTTTAAAAAAATATTTTTTTTTTAAGTAGGCGCTCCCAGTATGCTGTTTATTTATTTATTTTTTTAATTTTTAAACTTTTTATTGTGAGTCGAGTGAAGGTTTACAGACAAGATCATCGGTTTTACATTTATCAAATCACATACTTTGTTTCATCTCAATGACTGCAATCCCTTTCATGGAACAAGAGTTATCCCACTTCCTCTCTGTGGTTCCTAGTTCCCTTCCACCAGTCTTCCATTCCCTTCTCAACTTTGTCCTTAGGTAAATGTTGCCCTTTTGAGTTTGAATGATTAACCATTCCATGGTGAGCAGACATTCCTGGTGGTGGTGTAACCCCTCCCTTACCTTCTTCCCTTCTACTGCTTGGCTGCACATTGAGCCATGAGGGTGAGTCCCTTAGCAGACCGTAAGGATAGTGGCCGGCCATGGTCTCACATTCCTCCTGTCTCTTTCTGACCATTAAGCTTGGTCTTTTAAAAATAATTTTTAGTTTTGTTCCACATTTTCTCCCACTGTGTCCGGAAGCTTCTAATATCCCTTTCAAAGCCTTTGGTAGTGATAGCCAGGTACCATCTAGTTCTTCTGGTCTCAGAGTCGTGGAAACTGATGTTCACGTACATTAATCTGTTGGACTCATTAATCCAGGCATCTTCAGTTATCATGATGTTCACTTTAATTCAGAATTTATGGAGCTATATCGTTGATTGGAATACAACAGACATTTGACATCTCAACTTCATCAAACTCTTTTTGGCCAAGACATCCCTCTCTTCTGGCCTGTTCGGGGATTGCAAACCCCAGCTATTTGGAATGGAAATTTCACATCCATATTAAAGTTGCACGCTTAGGATTCAGTACCTTCTTTGCAGGGAAACCCTGTTTCATGGGGAAGCTATGGGGGTTTGAAGTTCAGGCCTCAGTAAATCATGAAATCTGAATTTCATGATTTACTATGTCACCATTGTCCTTGATAGTTGTTATGGTTTCCGATTCCATGGTTACCGTCCCTGTTGTGTTTTATTGAGTCCATTTTTGTTGGAACTTTTTGTAAATGTAATTTTTCTGGTCTTAGCTTAAGGCAGATCTTGTGCACCTCAGTCCAGGCCAAGCCCTTGCTCCCAGGAATCTCCTAGGGGAGTCTTTGACTTTCAGAGTGCCTGTATGGACATCAGTCAGAGTGAACATTGGTAAAGCCCATCGTTTCCTTTACATCAACTCTGCCTGGTCCTTCTATTCCTTACAGGAATGTAGCCATCAGAAAGTGTTGCCTTGGCATCTCCCCATCTTCTAACATCGTCTGCCAGGAGGTTTATCTTGGAGAAGGTGAATGAATGATAATCCATTTTTGAAAAAGAAAAAGAAAAAACCAGATTTATTTCAAGGGCTCTATCTTTTTAGATGATCAGTTGCAGTAACTGTTTTCAACATGTTCCACTGAACATGCTTGTTGTCTTTAGTTCTGGGTGTGAAATGGCTTGGGGACAACCATTACTTGGGGTGGTTTTATTTTGTTTGGGTTCTGCATGTGAGAGCGTTAAAGAACCTTTTTGGGGGGGAAAGAAGAGGATTTTCTCTGTAAGATGCACATAAAGCCCCTGCAAGATGGCTCCAGAGTACATTTCCTGTGGGCCTACATCACTGAGGGTCTCGGTCATCCTCTAGTGAGCTTGTCTATAAAACTCAGCTTGGCCCATTCAAACAAAGGTGCAAGCATGTTTCTGGGTTTTTCACACCTTTCCCGTGCAGGCGGGGTGTGTGGGTGTGAGCACACAAGGCTAGAACAGTGACATACGACAGAAGAGCTTATGGGGGAATTCTCAGTGGCCCAGTGTCTAGCATGATTTGCATGGACAAGAAATAGTTATCAATACATGGGTAACAAACAGAACCATGTGATTCAGATCCAAGATGAGTGACATGGTACAGTTCCCAAGTGTCGCTCCACAGGTCACTAGGGGTGATGGGTGACAAGACAACACAAGGGCATTGTAAAGAGTTGAGCACATAAAACCTGAGATTATTGGACTTTTCTCCTCGAAAAGTCTATTGGTAGATGGAATAGTGGGAAATAAAATATTTAGGTTCTAGTTGCTTCTTTCCCACTAAGTAACTGGGTGACCTCAGGTCAGTCCCTTGCATGTTTTGGGCTTGTTTTCCCTCTTTCATTTGTACCCAAGAGAAAAACTCTCTCTTTCCTTAAATGGGTCATCTGAAATAAAGCATGTCAGTTTCCTTCCAGGAACATGAGTAAAGTTCTGTGCACATGTGCAAGAAGGGGTCCGTAGCTTTTGTCAGAGTTACAATGAGACCCAAGATTTTGATCAGTCTTGCTCTTGGATCATTCTAGGTCTTCTCTTCTGGTCTCCGAGCTGCTAACCTTCTCTGTGACTCTTACTGTTCTTGCAATCCTAACTTGGATCCTAGAAGGACCACTTCCCGGCTGGTGCCTGGGCTTCCATGTCTGGTATCTGAGTACTGTGTCTACAGAAAGAGAGAGAGATTATCAGATGCACTAAGCCAGATGACCTTGAGATATTGGCATGGAGCTGTTCTGAAGCAATACATTTTCCTGTTATTTTTTTAGCCCATGGTAAACCCTAATTTGGAGTGCTCCTGAAAGGCAGTTGTTTTAAATAAAATCACGAAAACATAAGTCATCTTTCTTATGCCCAGAATTAGGCAGCAGCCTTGGCTCTGGGTTACTGATATGGGTGCCATACAGTTTGGGTGACCACGTAGCTTTTCATCAAGGGTTAGATAGTGACATTTCTGGCGTTGCGGACCGTGCAGTCTCCATAATGACTATGTAGCCTTGGTGTTGTCTGTAATGTGGAAGTTGCTGTAAATGATATGGAGGTGAATGGGATGTGACTGGGCTCCAGTAAAGCTTTATTTACAAACGCCAACAGTTTTTACTAACCCTGATCTAAATAAATCAGAGTGAAAGGGGGAGGCTTTAATAATTATGCCAGTTGACCAGCAAGCCCACCTGAGAGAGGGTGACTCGGGGAGACAGACGTGAGCATCAGTGTGGTGCTCATCATCAAAAAGTGTGTACACAGGGAAAACACAAACCGTATGAGCAGCGACAGTTCTGTCTTCAGACGTGTATCTGTGCCAGGATGGACGGGCTTCGTGGCTGGTGGTGGTGGGCTTTGAGGGGCTCACTCAAGGCATGTCCCTTCTTCCCTTGCAGCACCTGCAGCAGCATGAGAGCGGCGTTGAGGGAGAGAGCTGCTACTACCACTGTGTCCTTTGCAACTACTCCACCAAGGCCAAGCTCAACCTCATCCAGCACGTGCGGTCCATGAAGCATCAGCGCAGCGAGAGCCTGCGGAAGCTGCAGCGGCTGCAGAAGGGCCTCCCCGAGGAGGACGAGGACCTGGGGCAGATCTTCACCATCCGAAGGTGCCCCTCCACCGACCCAGGTGAGTGAGCTGGCAGGCTCAGAGACAGGAGGCCTCCTGAGGACCATGGCTGGAGAAGACATTGCTGCTACTCTGCTGGTCTTTGTGTCCATTCTGGACCTTACAGGTGGATGTTGTGTTCTGGAAGGAACGTGTGTGGGTTGTTTTTTTAAGTTTGTTCTTAAGGAACTTAGCACCACTCTCCTTTGAAATACAGTGTGTGCTCTCAGTCTTATGGTGTTGTCTCAAGCCGCTGTTCAACCCCCCCCCCCCCTCCCGTGAGCAGCCTGGCACATGTTTTGTCCCCATTCTGAAATCTTTGGGGTATATATTCAACTTTTTAGTTCAAATGGACATAAACAGATGTTAAATTATGTCTGATTAAGTATTCAGAATAGGCAACATGTGACTTCAAAGTCTGATTGGTAAAAGCGAAATTGAGAGATGATCAAAACCAAAAGAAACGCGATTTTAAACACTTGGTTGTTGCGTGGGTCATTGCCGGAGAGCAGCCTCCATCAGTGCAGACTTGTCCAGCTCCTACTCCCCACATCCTCTCGGCATCGTCACTCTCTGTGTCCTCCTCCCCGCCCCACCTCGGGACCTCCTTTGGTAAACTCACAACTCTCTCTTCTTTTTTTTTCTTTTTCTATCTCCTAGGCCCTTAAATTGCACAGGACAGTTTCTTGCCTCTTTTAAAACAATGAAAACTAGAGTGTCCTTTTATACCATGGTCCTCTCCTCCTCAGTAGTCTTGAAAGGATATAATTCATGTGACTCATCTCTGGTCCACCCAACCTCCTCCTCCCATCAGCAGACTGCCCTGGTCAAGGTCATGATGACCTTGTTTTTGCCCAACTCAGTGTCTGCTTGTGGTCTGTATTTTTTCCTAGCCTTCTGCAGTGTTTGAAATTGTTGGTGTTTGTTGTCTTCCTGAAGCTCCTTCCCGTAGCTTCCAGGGCATCTTCCTGTCTTGTTCTCCTGCTTGACCTGACTGTTGTCCATGTCCATCCCTGCTGATTGGTCTTCAGCTGTCCCCATGGACCATTGTCACCAAGCTTTTATTCCTGGCCCTTTGCCCTTAGCCCTCAGCTCCTACTCATTAGAGATTTATCTCCTGGTATTGCCACGTGTCATTCAAACTGCTTCTTGGACTTCTGGTGCCTGATGCCCACCTCAGTCACTGACCTCATTGATTCAGGACGTATACTGTTCTACCCGCCAGATTTAGTGTCCCTTCTGACTGTCGTCCTGGTTTAATGGTCTGACTATGCCAGCTGCTCAGCCCTTCCTCATCCCTGCATCCTTACAGTAGTATCCTCTCAGCCATCCAGCTTCCCTGGACGTATGGAGTTTGGAATCTGAATGTTATCACATCATACACTTTTTTTCGTTTCCAAAGGCCAAAAGTTACATAAACCTGATTACCAAAAAGGGCCTGCCTTTGCCCCCTCCTGTTCCACAGACTTCTTCTGTTGAGCTACTTCTTTGATACTTAATTTCCACATTCCTGTATATGTCACTCATTTGTTAATTCTAAAAACTTATTCCCTACTTCTACTGGGGAAGACGAGCATTTCACTCCTATCCCATTGTGCAGACCCACTTTCTTGCACTCACTCACACACTCGTTCTGACACACCACCCATAAGCTTAGACACAACACCCTCCATACACCCCAAGCACCAGCCCCACTCATATACCATAGCCACACAACCCCCATACCCTCCCTATACACACTCACACCCACACCCCACCCACAGGTGGAAACACACAGGCATTACCCAAAAAGCTTACCAGACCCCACACACATCTAATACCTCACACACACTCGCACATACATCCCACCCACACTCCTCCGCTCCCCTGTTCTCCTCAGCCCCCTTAGACACTTAAGTCTTTCCCTCCCTCCATTTTCCATTATGATTAAATAATAATTTGGGGTTATATTAATATTCAGTGTTTTCATTATTATAACTTTATAAATATTAATCACAGCTGAGCCATGTAGAGTTTTATAATTTCATTTACCTTCTTGTACAACTTTTTGTTTCCCTGGTTTTCTCAGTACCTATGATTAATTCATGGCTAGGCCCCTCCAGAGTAGACCTTTTTTCTTTTTTTTTTCAAACTCCCTGAATTCTCTGATTTGTCAGGTTTTCTGTCTGCTTCGTTTCCTTTTAGAGGAGTCCCCCCTGCGCCCCTCTGGGTGCCCTTGTCCACCTGCGTGGTAGCCCTGATTACGCGATTGTATCTTGTGTGTCTTCTCCACATAATTGAAAATGGAATTTCTCTCTCAAGCTAGACATGCTGCAAGTGTTAGTGTTTGCCTAATGACAGAACTTACCAAGATCTAAGAGCGTTGCCCCCCACTGGAGAACCACATTTTACGCAGATAATACATGATTATTTGGGTTTATCTCTGCAAATTGAGCAGGCCCCTCGCACATTGGTTTCCTGTGCGTGTCGTACACCTTAAAGCCATGGGTGGGTTCTATGCAGGAAATACGTTGTCTGTGTATCGCAGTGAGTGGGCGAGTCCTCCGCACAGATCCTATGAGGGATCAGGAACGCTTTGCAGGGTCCACCAGGACAGTATAGATCACTTAACCACGTTCTCCTTTTGTTTTCTTCACACCTCTTCAGTTGAGTTGTAATTGACTTAATCCGAGGGCTCCCCCTTCGCTCATATTCCGTTCCTGTGTGTGTGTACCTTAAGAAGTGGGGCTGGGCTCTCTAGACTAACCCTTGGACGCAAGGACAGAGAGCACTGTGGCATCTGGCTGTGCTAGGACTCCATTCCCTCCCTGAGTGTTTGACTTCTCTCTAACCCTGCCACCCCCGTTACTATGCCGCTGGGTCATTTTACAGGCATCTCCTTCCTTCTCCCTGTATACCTGTTGTTGTTGTAAAGTGCCCTCAAGTCAGTTCCGATTTATAGCAAACTTGCATAGGGTTTCCGAGGTGGGCTTGAACTGCTGAACCTACAGTCTCACACCGGAAGTCCCTCTATATACCTGCACCAGCTTTTCTTTTTCTATTTTTTTAGGTGCCACCTCTGAATATCTCACTGTTTTAATCTAATGTTAAAAGGTGTTCCCATTAGCCCCTTAATTCTTTCTTTCACTCCACTCAGAATTCCATTTTTATTAATGAGGTGCCCCAAAGTAAAATAGTGTACAGCTGCCATTTCACCCGGGGTCTATGGACTGGAACGAACTGTCCCCTGTTTTTAATGTAATGCACTTTTTATGCAGTTCACTCTGGAATTGCTTCCTGACACCATTGGCTTCTGGGTTTCTGTCTTTTAACAGGTACTAGGGTTCTTTTCTCTCCTCCGTAAAGTGTATGTGCAACTTTAGTCCAGATGATAGACTTCCTTCCTCTGTTTCAAAATCCTTTTGTATTGTCCTTGATCTGGAGTCCTGCCCACTTATGCACACTGCCCTCCATCTACCCCGCACTCTGGTTGTTACATGGCTAGGTAACTTTTGACAATAACTCATTCCTGCTTTAGAAACATCTCTGAGACGTCTCACCTTAAAATACATCCTCTCTTCCCTAGAGAGTAGCTCTTTAAAACATCTTGAAAGAGTACCCCAAAGAAGAGGATGATGGTGGGCCTGGTAGAATTGAGACCTTTAAGGTCATCAGCTTCCAATTTTGTAAACAGAGTTCACCAAATAGGTCTCAATTTTCTCACTGTAACGTGAAGATCAGGAGGTAATTTTTCAGTCAGAAGCGCCACTCATGTGGTATAGGAAGTATAAGGGTGGACTCTAGGTGGCAGATGTACAGTTGTGTGTCTGGAGTTTGTTGTAGTGGAAGGCTGTCATCTTTAGGTAAACGATGGTGCTGCTTTGCATTCCAGGTCCTTTCCTCTTCTCCACTTTTGTTGGCACACACTAGAGTTTTACAGAAAATACATGAGAAAGACCATCTTTTCCTGTTTCTGAGCTCGTTAGCCCAAAGCTGAGTCTCATAGCACCTTCAGGAGGTATCAAGAGGTCTCTTATTGAGTCTGATGGTGTGGTCTCTAGAATTGTATCTTAACCTGTGGATGAGAAAAATCTCTTCAGATCTTACCTGTGACTTCAATTACATTAGGCAATCAAGTGTTCCCAGAGAGCCTGAAGGTCCACATGGACGTGTGAATTGGGAGGTGGAATAAACTTGGAAGTTTTCCTCTGCCTTAGACAACTGCTGTTGGTTTCCTAACACTGGTGAGGCTCCAAGGGCCAAACGCAGAAACCAAGATCCTGTCCCACACCAAAGGCTGCCAGACAGGTGCTGTCATTAGGTAAAGCTTCATCCTAATGTCAGAGGACAGTCAGGATCCCTATACAGGCAGACCTCAGTACTGTATATACACACCTACAGACAGAACTCAGTACTCTATATACACACCTACAGGCAGAACTCAGTACTGTATATACACACCTACGGGCAGACCTCAGTACTGTATATACACACCTA